ATTGTTGTTTGGCAGGTCCGGGCTGGGGATTCGAACCCTCCACCTTAGGTGTATGTGGCTGGCGCCTTAGCCGGTTGAGCTATAGGCGCCAAGCTGATACTTTCTATGTATTTCTGGCCCCATCTCAGTCATAAGTATCTTTATTTATTTGACATCATGCTTTCATCAACTGTCCTCCAGGAATGTACCAGGCTTATGCCTTTATTTATATGGCATACCTTTAAATAGACAAAACATTTTTCTCTTTCCCCAATCAACATTCTTTACTAAGTGACTCCATTAATGCCTTCCAATCCAGCTATCACTGATATAGCCTACGTATACAGCTCCTACAGTCTGTACTACATAATTTTATACAAACTCATATTTTGCCTTATGATACATGACATTTTTCATGGATTATTAATCTCTTCTCATTTGGGGCAAAGTTTTCTGTCTCACACTTCTTTAGATACCTTCATAGCACCAAACAAAAAATTATTTGTTTGGTTGCTCCTAAAAAGTCGTAGCAGTCAGACATCAGGATATAAAGATTCAAGCAACAGAAATGATAGGGCATAGGAGAACCAGGAAAAATTTGAAGGATTTTGGAATGATAGGGCATGGGAGAACCAGGAAAAATTTGAAGGATTTTCAACAATAGCTAAAAAAACTTTCACCAGGAAGTGACAAACATAGAAGTATACAACTCAATTATCATTTAACACAGATTACCAAAAAGTATTATGGAGCCACAAAATATGAAATTATGTTTAAGGAAAGATGGTATCTATAAAAAGTTATTTATAGTGACCAATTTAGTAAATCTATCATCAAGCTTAATTTTTTTAATAAAAGTACAATTTTATCTTTTCATTTTAATATTACTGACCATAATACATTGCTTTAAATCTTACATAGATCTTGCTTCATAGATGTATGCAAAATTTTTTCTCTTTGGGATAATTTTTTCCTCCACGTAATACTAACCTGCAAAAAGGGTTTTACCAGTCAGCATTTCAGCAAAGATGCAGCCTGCAGCCCACATGTCAATGGCTTTAGTATAATTATTAGGAGAAAGTAAAAGACGTGGAGATCTGTACCACTTAGTAACCAATCCTTCAGAAAGATGACCCTAAAACAATAAAAAAGAAATTGTTTTTACTGTCACTGAAGAATAGTACATAAAACTTGATTCATTAAAGAATTCTTCATCATGAAAAACTAAAAAAAAACCCCAAAACAGCAGCAACTGTTAAGTGCTAAAAGAGACAGTTGATTTCTTTTTCTTTTTTTTTTTTTTTACTTAAGCGCAAACACAGTCTCCCCCACCACCAATTATGCAATCGAGTTTTCCACATTTGAAGAAATCGCAGGGGTCAGCACTTCCGGAGTGCAATGGATATTTGCCCTGGGAAAACCACCTTCAACCTTCATGATCATGGTATCTCCCTGCCAGGTAAGTATTGAGACTGTTGATTTCTAAGCCTGTCTTCAAGGTTCTTGTACTTTTGAGGCTGGAGTTAAACTCCCCCTGGGATAAGCCATCTAGGAGATGATGTTCATAGCAAGTGACCAAAATGTGCTGTAAGAATTTATAATAGATAACTTTCGTCAGTTACAGTGTTAACTACAGGCCACACATTTTCAGAAGATGAGTTATTTTTCAATAACTCAAGATATTATCCAAGTCTTAAGATAATTAAGGAGTAGATATGCTTCAAGCCAGAGAAAAAGGCAGGGAAGCGCCTCAGTGGTGCTACTTAGAACCAGTGCCAACCTCTTTACTGACAACCCAAGGGACCTAGCTCTACTATACACCCCATTGATAATCAATCCATTCTACCACTTGACATTTACAAAGCATTTGATGAAAACACGTACATATAGAACCTCTATAAGTTGACCACTCAAGGAACTATCATAAACTGGTAAACAAATGGAGATGGTCAACATATAGAAGTAGGCTTACTACAGAATACATACATGTGGTACATGTCTGGTCTATGAAAATTAGGTCAACTATGGTATCTAGTGTATATCTATCTACACATGTATATATAACCTTATTTCATCCAGTGAACAATACTAAGAAATTGTGATGGCAGATATTAACTTCATTTTACAGATGTGATAACAATCAGATGTTAAGGGTCATACAGCTAGTTGGATGTAGAAATAGAAGTCAATTTTAGACAGTGTAATTCTTAGTTTAGTGTTCTACCCATAATACTTCACTGTTACCCATAAAAAAGAAGTGGCCATCCAGGGCAGCGCCTGTGGCTCAAAGGAGTAGGGCGCCAGCCCCATATGCCAGAGGTGGTGTGTTCAAACCAGCCCTGGCCAAAAACTGGCAAAAAAAAAAAAAAAGTGGCCATCCATTTCAGTATAGTACCTATTTTCTATGTTAAAAATTTTAAGGCCAAGGCTTCTAGCACCTTGGGGGACGAAGGTAGGAACAGCACTTGAGGTCAGAAGTTCAAGACTAGTCTGAGCAAGAGTGAGATCCTGTCTCTATTAAAAACAGAAAAATTAACCAGGCATTGAGGTGCATGCCGGTAGTCCCAGCTACTCAGTAGGCTGAGGCAGGAGGACCACTTGAGCCCAGGAGTACTGAGGTTAAAGTGAACAATGATGAATGACACCACTGCACTTTAGCTGGGAAAACAAAGCAAGACTCTACTTCAAATTTTTTTTAATTAAGAAAAAAAATCCTTAATGTGAGATGATTATGTATGAATAAAGATTTATTTGTTTTAGACCCATACTATGGATAACAAGCATGCAGGGGTCCCAGGGGTTCTTTACAAAGAAAGCACCTCCAATTTTCTATTTTAAACATCAAGTTCTCGTATAATATTTCATTTCAAAACTTAAGGACCAGGGTTCAGCTTGGAAAATGTTATTAAATTCTTGTATGAAGTCAAGTTGCTATGAATCCTTTTGGCTACACTTACTGTCAATTATTTACATGAATTTAGATTTCAAACTATGTTTGCTTTAACAAAGCAAAACTCTGTTAAACAAAGAATAGAACAGACTCAATGGGACAAAAGAAGACCTAAGCTGGACATGGTAGTATGTGCCTATGGTCTGAGCTACTTCAGAGGCTAAGGCAGGTGAACTGTTGGAGCCCAGCAGTTTGAGATTAGCCTGGGCAACACAGTAGGCTTGTCTCTTTAAAAAAAAAAGAACAAAAACCTTAAAAACTGAAATAGCATTCCCTCTTACCTTCAAATAGGATAGATAATTCTGTTCCAAACAGATAAGAATGCATTCCACTTTTAAATAAGGGACACTTTAATTTATAATAACCATATGCTGCAGAACTTCATTATAATAAATAGCCATATACATTTAGCAATTTGCACTTAATTAGAATCCTACTCCACCTTCATTTCAAAAACAGGGAGATTGTGAATGAGACCTGATCTGTATCAGAAAAAAGGCATTATGTAAAGTTCAATCTGATTAAAAATGCTGCCACAAAATAGAAAGAAAATTACCTACTTCTGATGAGCTACATCAGTTTAAAGGACTAAGCTGGCTTTTTACGTACCTTATGGGAATAATGAGGATCCATGATCCGTGCAAGACCAAAGTCACCTATCTTCAGCACCAAGTCTTCGGTATTAATGAAAAGATTAGCTGGTTTGAGATCTCTGTGCAGTACGTTTGCAGAGTGAATATACTTGAGCCCCCGTAGCAGCTGATACATGAAAAGCCTGGCATGCTCTTCCAGTAAAGGGCCTTGCTCCAGCACGTTCGCCAAGTCTGTCTCCATGTACTCCTGAACAATGTAGACACTGTTCAGTTCAGTAAGAGAGCCCACATCATCTGTTAACTGGCTTCCACTGGGACCAAGAATTTCAAACACTTTCACAATGTTATCGTGGTCAAGTCTTCTAATAATTTTGATTTCACGTAGAGCATGTTTGACACTCTGGGGATCAGTTAGGACAATTTTCTTGATGGCTACTCTTTTGTCACAGTCATTGTCTACAGCAGAAAAAACCAAGCCATTGCCTCCACAACCCAATGGTTTTAAGTCCATATACCTAGAGCCCAGATCAAAACCATGAATGTTCATGAGACTTTCAAATTTCTCTGCCATTTTGAAACCCTTACTATTGCCTTTTCCTTTCGAATTGTTGAACTTGTGTAAACAAGGAAGAAAACTGGCATCAAAAGGAAAGATCTTTCAAAAAGGGAGAAGAAAAATAATTATGCTTCCACAGCAAGATGATTTCTTGATGTTCATTGCATATGCCAACCAGGCCCGTTGAGTTCCCCTTAGATTTTAAGCTCAAAAAGCTCTACTCATATTGAGAATTAAGAAGATTGCAGTACTCATAGTTCAAGAAAGGGGCAGCAACTCCGCAGACATTTAAAGAAAACACTCAAGAAACTCAAACGGAATGAAATGACATACTATGCACTCAGATTTACTGTGCTAAACGATTTAACATTTAACAAAAATGTGAATAAATATGCACACAACAGGTTTCTATGAACATTCTCCTCACAGTGCAGATACATTCAGTGTTGGACTGGTCCTGAGCAGCATCATTCTAAGGTGCTGGTAAGCACTATTTCCGTTTTGCTTCTCTTCTTCCTCTGTTGCTATATATTTCAACAGGAAGCCCTGGCAGCTGTTGGTTAACAGATGTCTTTTGTTAGTGATCAGGTGGCTCCAGCTCACCACAATCACAATCAAAGCTACCGTCCATCTTACTCAGCTACAACCTGGGGGATGAGAAAAAGCAGAGTCACCAACACGGGAAATATTCTTTTCTTCAAATTTGTAAAACACAAACTGGCCATTTAGCAAAACTACCATTGGTACGGTAAACTCAGTTATGGTCATTAAGTGACAAATTACCATTAATCAAAAATATTATAAGCAATTAAAACATGTTGGCCCAGGCTCCAGATCCCACTACATCAGATTCTTTATAACACTCGGGTTCGTTAGGTTATACCATTTCTGAAATACCAACAGTATGGGAAGGTTCATAACATTGTTTTTTTTGTTTGTTTGTTTGTTTGGCTGAGGTCGGGTTGGAACCCACCACCTCTGGTATATGGGGCCAGCACCCAAAGTTCATAACATTTTTACAGAATCCTGTTGTTTTTTTGAGGGATAAAACATCAGTAATTTTTATTTATTTATTTATTTATTTATTTATTTTTGAGACGGAGCCACAAGCTATCCCCCTGGGTAGAGTGCCATGGCATCACAGCTCACAGCAACCTCCAACTCCTGGGCTCAAGCGAGTCTCCTGCCTCAGCCTCCCAAGTAGCTGGGACTACAGGCGCCCGCCACAACGCCTGGCCATTTTTTGGTTGCAGCCATCATTGTTGTTTGGCGGGCCCGGGCTGGGGATTCGAACCCGCCACCTTGGGTGTATGTGGCTGGCGCTTTAGCCACTTGAGCCACAGGCGCCGAGCCAGTAACTTTCTTTTAAAATAACATATAACAAGCCTGCGTGCAATGTGTTAGTTTTTAAAGAGCATGTTTACTTGTTTACTTATTAACTCTGCCTATCATCTGTTCAAAATATTGAACAAAAATCTAGCAGTGTAAGAAAGATGAATCTGCAGAACATGCTCTTTCAGTTTACGAAAGGGTAAAACACAAACAGTGAATAAACCTACAAAAAGGTGTTTCAACATCACTGATAGAAAAAATTATCTTAATATTTCAGATTGTTAAGACATTTTTAGAGTTTGCTAACATGAAGTCTGAGAAGGACTGTGGAAAAACAAGAATATTCAACATCATATTGGTGGGACTTTAAATTAGTAAAAAAAACTTCAGAACAATTTGGCACAAATAAATATCACGCTGTATAAGCTGGCCATTTTCTTCAAGGTAAACTCTCTACAGAAATGTTTGCAAATAAACATACAAAGGCAAATGTGTTTCTTTTCTTTTCTTTTGATAATGAAAAAGAAAACAACCTAAACTTTTAAAAATAGGAGGACATATGAGTTATATTCACATAGTAGTGAAAATGAATAGAGATGGCTAAAACCTTCAAAAATACATTTAAAAAGCAAAGTACAAATAGAAATGTACATGCTGAAACAAGTTATATCAAGTCCAAAAATATGCAAAATAATGCAGAAGTATATACGTATGCGACAAAAGCATAAAAAACATAAGATACCAAATTCATGACACTGATTACCTTCAGGAATGAGGAAGGAGATTACAATCATTTGTTCATGGCTTAATGTGTTATTTCTTTTTTAAAATAACAAGTGTGGCAGATTATTAGAATTCTATAGCGCTGGGTGGAACACACATGAAGGTTCATTTATTGATCTCTTTACATTTGAAATACTTCACAATAAATATTAAAAATACCCTATAATAAGGGAAGGAAAAAATAGCCTCAACTCCAATAAGATTGTTCCCTAGGTACCCTGGAAAAATAAACTGATCCTTTAGTTTCTTTTCT